TTCTGGGGGCAACAGGCGCCCTACAGCAAAACCCACAAAAAAAAAAAAAAAAGAACACTTAGCTCTGGGAACCGGCAGTGTTTACATCACAGGACTCCCATGGAGTTGACTGCAATTCCAGTCCCTGACCCAGCGACTTAAAACATGCCAGGCAGGTATGCATGCATGACCCAGATCCCAAGAGGGGAATGGAGGAAAATGGATTGCGGTGTGACCATCCCACCTGGGTGATGTCTCTCTGTCTCTCTCTCTCTCTCAGTCTGGTGACCATACACGCCCTATAGCAAACCTCTCTCTAAAAAACAGGATGCCTATCTCTGTCTCGTTCCTGTTCCTATCTCCCCCTCTTTCTACTTTTCTCTTTCTCTCTCAGAAGGGAAGACAAACGAATAACTCTGTGCCCTTGTGCTAATTACGTAATTCCTCTGTGCCTCAGTTCTTAACCTTAAATGTCAACTAACTCTTACTGACAGGTTATCGGAAAAGTCATGATGCATTTTTGCATAGAAAACCATAGGAAAAATGCATTGTGACTTTTCCAGCAACCCAATACATGCCAGATTCTGTTCCAAGCATTTTATGTGCATTTATCCTCATAGCTCTATAAGGTAGAATGCCCATTTTGCAGATGAGGAAGCAGAATTGCAGAGTTTAAGTGATTCATCCGGGGTCAGACAACTCCCTAGGAGCAGACCAAGGAGTTGAACCCAGGTCATCCAGCTCCATCTATACTCTGTGCCTACACCACAGTGCTCTCTGGCCTTTCCAGAGAGTTCTCCCAGAGACTTCTAGCATTCTGTCTCCTTCTCTGGCCACCCCTTGGGCTGCAGTGGGATGGAAAGATATGCGCCCTTCTCTTCCTCTAAAACGTAGGCCAAGTGAAAAGTTGCCACTAGCCAAGGAACATTCTAGAACATTCTAGGATGTTCTGCCTGTGTGCCTTTGGCGTCACAGCATCCCCCACAGATGTCTTGCTTTGTCTCCAGGAGAAAAGGTCGGTGCTGGTCATCCTGTGGATCTTGGTCTTTCTGGCGGGGAACACCTTGTATGTGCTCTACACATTCAGTTCCCAACAGCTGTACAACAGGTGAGTGGGGGAGTCTGGCCTTCTTTCTGGGGGGACAGTGAGGGGTTTCATCAGGGTTGGGGTGCACGCCGCTTCACTGAGAACTATGCCAGCTCTGTATCACATCACACTTTTCACATTCTACCCTGTTGTACTGACACACACACACACGCCGAGAGCAGCTTGCTCTAGTGGAAAGGTAAGGCAAGCCAACTCTGTCATTTTATATTCTCTAGTTGCCACGTTAAAACAAGGGCAGCAGGGGGCATGGTGGGTAAGCTGCTGGGTCTGACATGACCGACTCCTTGGTTCAAGTCCCAGACCCAGCAGCTTGAAAAACACCCCAGGCATATGTGCATGCCCAAAATCTCGAAAGGAGAATGGAGGAGAGGGGATTGTAGCGTGGCCATCCTACCTGGGGCGGGGGTGGGGTGGGGAGGATTTCTCATTTTCTCTTTTTCTCTGTCTGTCTCTCTCCATTAAGCACACCCACTTTATGGAAAAAATTTTTTTTAAAAAATAGGGTCAGCAGATGGCATGGTAATTATACACTGGACTCCCACGTGGCCAACCACGGTTTGAGCCCCAGGCCTAGAGGCTTGAAAATCATGCCAGGTGGCTGTGCATGCATGGCCAAAATCCTAGGAGGGAAATAGAGGAGAAGGGATTGCAGCATAGCCATCCCATGAGGACAGGGGGAATCTCTCACTTCCATCTCATTGTCTCTCTCTGTCTCTAGCAAGCACATGCACACTATGGCAAAAACCTTTAAAAAAAAAAAAGACCAGCAGATGGGGTAATGATTACCTCACTGGACTCACACGTAGTTGACTACGGTTCAAGTCCTGGACCTGGTGGCTTAAAACACACCAGACGCGTGCCCAAGATCCCGAGAAGAGAATAGAGGAGTAGGGATTGCAGCATGTCTGTCCCCTCCAGGGGGTGATTTCTTGCTTTCTGTCTCTCTGTGTGTCTCTGGCAAGTGCACACACCCTATAGCAAAAATCTCTCTTAAAAAAAAAAAAAAGAAAGAAAAGAAAGAAAACTTAAAGAGAGCTGGCCCCATTGCCTAGTGTTTAAGGGAGCCTCAACACTACTACCAATATCATTTCATTAAAAAATGGGTATTTTGGGGGCGGCAGGTGATATGGTGGTTAAAGATGTCAGACTGCCACAGGGCAGACCACGGTTCAAGTCTCAGACCTGGTAGCTTGCCTTCTCACTTTCTCTCTCTCTGTCTCTCTGTCTTTCTCTGGTCAAATTAGAAAATAATAATAATAATAATAGTAATCATTAATAAAGTTATGTAAACTCATTCTTTTTTATGCATATTTTAACA